GCTGTTTTAGAGCATTGGAAACTATTATAGGATCATATGTCGATTGAACGTTGTTTTTCATTATTTACATAACGGAATTATTTGTTTAGAAGTTCTGTTCTAGGTATGAAATTTTGATATAGTTTACCCTTTGCACTCGAGAGGTGACTCTCAGTCATCCGATTTGATATAACAATTTACAAAGGGGTATATATAGTATTCACTTTTGTATTATGCATCAATGTGTGAAATGTTTATATAAAATAGCTTTGTGTCTTTGTCTTACTCATCGGAAAGTGTCGAATGCTTGTGAGAAGCTTCCGAGAGCAAAGGGTTAACCCTTCACGGACGAAGATTCTCTGAAATATACAAAACCCTCAACAGGTGAAGCTAAATTATATATCAATTACTTGAACAATGTAAAAATAGGAAACTACGTGCTGATCTCTTGCCATTCGAGTAATTAAATCATTTGTTTACGACTTAGTCTTCCAAATATGAAAATTTCATCTCGTAATGTCGACATTCGTCCGCGAAGGATTAAGGCTTGTCGAAGACTCAAAAAAGTAAAGTGAAACTAGTTTTCTTAACACGTTGCCTATCGACAGTTAAGCTATGTATCAAAGATCAATAGTTTGATACGTAAATATTTCGTAAATAATCCTGTCAGTTTCGTTGTCCGAAACTGTCGACGAAGCAATCGATCTGGACACGTCCAATTGTTGATTGCTGCGAAGGTATACCTAATTTGAGCTTCATTATACTAATTCGTTGAAGCTGCGAGTTCCTAACGACTCGAACAATTCGCGATTTCAAGAGAAAATCGCTTGCGAGTTTTGACCGTCGTCATCGAGTCGCGACAATGGCAGAACGCGTGCTGACAAATGAGCGGCCCGCGCTGGGATACGATACACATGAGACATATGGCACCATAAAAAAAAATGCGCGAGAGATACAAGAGATGGCCTGCAGTAACCATCCAGTCGATCCGATATTAATGGAGACCAAACACCGCGCATTCTGTGTCGCCGGTGTCCCCGTTGTGTGTACACATCGGTGCGCCATTATGTCCCTGTTATAATGTATATACACACACCTCCCTTCGGGAACAATGGGAATGATCTATGATCCGGCGGGCATAGATCGCCCGGTTCAATTTTTCGCCCTTCTGTGCTGGCTCTTTTTTCCTAACAGCCGAAACGACGCATGCTCCTCTATATCTCTGAAAACGCCTCTTTCCCGTTCACCTAATTATTTTCCGTTTAAACGTACCCCTCTACAAACCGACACTAGCTGACGGTCACCGGTGACCGGCACTTCTACATTACTCGAAAACGATTGCTATAAGAGAATATTTATCGGGCGTGTGTGTTCGATAAAGCAAGTAACTAGACAATAGTGTAACATGAGAATTGTTTTAAATAATCAGTAATCGTTAGTAATGTTTAGAAGCTCAAGGCCTGTGTAGTAAGCGGTGTGTTTGTAATTAACACTAGATTTACGGAACAATTTGATATTGCATTTTTTCATTATTTATTTAGTATCAGTTTTGAAGTTGTAATTTTTGCGAATTATACACGAACACGTAGTTTTCTAGAAACAATAGAATAAGGTTTATAATAAACGTCCGTAAATCTAGTGTTAAGGTACACAGTCATTTGGAAATGAACATCGAGAATGAAACGTATGAATAAACGATCATGAACGGTCTACGAAGCATTTAAAAATATTTTACGTTGACGCTCCTATCGAATTTCATTCTCTAATCGTCGCTGCAACGACGAATAACGTTGACAAACGATTTTCAAAGCATACTCGGAGGTTTCTTCGGTGACTGGGAGACGCGTCGAAACTTCCCCGAAACCGTCGTGTACCGACGATTAACGTTCCTCGGCCGGAATCGGTGTAATTCCGGATTTTCCGGGCGTGCAAACAATAAAATTGGATTTAGCGACCCTCGCGGCCGCGTACGTGGCGCGCGACTCGAAGGGTGAGTTTTCAGAAGGTGGGCGATAGCACGGTTCCGGGGTGGGGTCGCGAGATCAAAGACGCCCTCCGGCCAATTCCGTAGTTCCTACGTGACATATTGGGTAGAAATTGACGGCGACAGCCACGAGCAACAACGCGGCGAGGAAACTTTGATCATTCCACCTGTGGGACTTGTCCCGACTTGCGAATATTATGTTCGTGCGATCGGTTCTCGCACGCTTCTGTGATTACATCGCGAAAACGGGCTCGATAATAGCGACAGGATATCGAGTTTCCCACTTCCAACAGCGTAACCAGACTTCGGACCGTATCAAACGTTTCGTCAAGTTCAACGTACAATGGAAAGTTACTCACCGGCTTTGCGCGGTTCTTCGTGGAAATTCTAAATTTTCGGAATATTATTATATAGATGGAATTAGGATTCAAAGTAGATTTTAAAACAAATACACTAAGAATCGCTATGTTTTGATTTAACTGTTCATACGAGGAATGTAATTAATGAAATGCGTGTTGAGGAAGCTCGTTGTTATGCGTGCTGATGCGATGGATAATTTAATAATTAATTTAAATGTTAAGGAAAGCAATTAAAGAGATTAAAAGGCATTCCGTTGTTCTTATGGTGGTTTGTAGTTTATAGGAAGTAATACACATACCTGTATTATACACGGAGAGATGTAATTTGTTAACAACGCTGTGGTGTCACTGGCTAAGCGCAGTCTAAACTGAACTGATTATCTTAGCAACGCGTTGATATGCTGTTTCCTGTGCACGCGTAAAATTAAGTCGATAGAGTACATTTTCCAAGGAAACGTAATCGTGACATTTCACATGGATGTATCGAAATGTTTGTTCAATCCGCGCGCAATATTTCGGTACGTGGAGACATCTAACGTAGGACGATGATGATAGTGATTCATCAGTGATAATAATGGTATTTGGATTGTCTTAGGCGGACTTGTTACCAACAGTTGATAAGAATGAACTATTTCCGTCTGTCGGTTTCAACTGCTTTATCGATATGGAAAGTGAAGATTGACAATTACGCGCTGTTCTCATGGATGAATTTCAGTTGGAGAAATTTTATTGGCTATGGGTATTTATGAATGTACTTATCATATTTTGATGGTGCCAGCAGAAATATATACAATTAGGGTATTTAAACTATTCTATGAAAAATAAACAGGAAAATAAAAACAAATATTTGAAAAATTTAGAATACTTTCTTATTATTCTTATTCTTGCTTCTTATTCTTTGCAGAGTGACTGTCATGAGAAGTTTGATTGTTTCATATATTACTCTAATTTTTCAAAAAAATAATAAATAATAAAGGATAAAAATAATAACAAATTTTTTTTTACTCCAATGATTTCATACCACAGTTCTTTCGTTCCGCTCTTGCCTAATTATTTACGTTATTCAGTCATCTATATAACTTTCTGCTCAACATCATACTTCCTATTTATACTTTCAAGAAATTCGAATGCGTTGGTTATGCGCAAATACCCTCACACTCCACTGGTTAACTATTTTTAGCAATATTAACCCTTATAAGAAGTGACATGCTTTTGTCTGTTTACACTTTGTCAAAGTATATTTTTTAAAACGGTTTCTAATATGGAAGAGTGGCCTGCTCTGTCACGCAATGTGACAAACACCCGCTACGGAAAAAACTGTAACATCACGTCGAAGGTGACATACCGTCCGATAACGGTTAAATTTCATATTTTTCTATGTGCATGATGTACGAGTCATCGGTCAAATCGCTTAACACGTTGAATGTCGTAGGGGTCACCGGTGACCCCCAACCAAATCGAATTACTATAGTTCATTTCAATTAAACGATGATTGAAAATATTTCTATATTATAAATGATGCTATCTAATGCGATGACATTCAGTTAGATGAACGTGCAATAATAACAATGCAATACAATCAAATGATTTGATATTATACCTTTTCCATTTTGTGTATTTTGTTCTATGAAATCGTGCGGCGTTCAACGTGTTAACTTCACAGACCAAAAAATAGAGAACAGTGATGCAGCAGTAAATTCTATTCACTTTTCAAATTTGAGGTTCAAGGGGAAAAAAGTAATGTTTCCGCCCGGGATCGAACCGGGGACCTTCCGCGTGTTAGGCGGATGTGATAACCACTACACCACGGAAACCGATGATATAAGCTACATTTTCCAGTCTTTTCATGAACAAATTATTATATACCAAAAGCTACAATTCTAAATTATTTTGATTATTATGAACTACACATCTTGTTTATACTCAAATTAATCAATTAACGTACTATGTACAGACTTATAAGTATTTAAATATACTTGAATCAACAGATTCCACGATGGAGGTATAGGTTAATGGTAATGAGCTGCCCTCTGGACCCATGATACAGAAATTACCAGCCAAATCATCGTTCGTAAAATGTATACTTGAAGATTGTACATATAATGAAGGGAATCCGTATTCTCTAATTACTGAGCTTTCGTTCAGTTATGCATTTCTGCGTTCTAAGTATAGATCTTTCGTTAAATGTTCTCCAGTTTCAATGATCTTTGTTATCTTACAATAATTAAAAAGGCATCAATGTTTTGAGAACGTGTATGCATTATTATTTGCTCCTATATAGTCATGCAATGACATTGCTTAATCAGTGAATATTATTTATTAAATCTCCATCGCTGCGAATCACTCTCAAAGCATGCTTCCCTTAATCAGAACAGTAAATTAGTTTAATTAGAGAGATAGGCGTTGCTTGTGAGTGACTTTTCATTTATAAAAATGCCTCTGCCGAGACGTTATCAACACGGTTCCCGAAATCTATTGTGATAATGTTTCGCCGAGACAACGTCATTGTTTTCTTTTTTCTCCCTTTTCCTCTTGTATTCTGTCCAGTGTACGCGAGATATATTTACGACGGCCTTCAACTTCCAAACACGGATAAACTTTGACTTCCTTATTTATTTATACACATAGTTGGTTTATATATAGGTTATTTTACTCGAAAAATTCCTAACGTCACATACCTTGAATATTTCGTTTCAAATCAGAGATTCATCTCCCATAGCCTGCGAAACAATCATGGCGTCAAGCATTTGCTTCCGTTAATTCCGTACGCGACGTCAAAATGTCGCGTCGTTAATATTTTCTTATTTGTCGAGTGACATCCAGTTTTATTGTTGATGCCATTCGAGTTATATCATCGAGTATTTACAAACGCAGACATTTACGTAACATTTATATATTGCCTTCCATTTGTAAAATTGAATATCACAGTCACTTCTTGTCGAATATTATAAACATGATAGATTGTTATACACTGTTGTATTGTTCGTAGTAAATTGTAGATACAACTTTGTACTCTGCCATTTGTCCTTATACTTACCATTCCTCAGGAACGGTCCGCGCAAAGATAACGTGGACATTTTGTACGGTTGTCCTTTTGTAATTAGTTACACTGTACTTATTTATTACATTCCCACTTTGATAGTGAAGAGAGAAACATTTCTGGTTTATCGCGATTAACGAACGCATTACAATGTTTAATAATAAACGCATGCGCGGACGTTCCCGATATTACCGTATCAATTCACTTATATTTTATTTTCCGAGTAAATTACTGCTGCAGAAGCGAGTTTAAGTTTAGGATTAACGAACCGGATGTCACATGGGTTCGAATTTCATGTTGTTTGGTACTGAAAGTATGAGACGGTTTAGAATGACGTATATCGAGTTTCTTTCAGCATTATCTAAAAGATGACGGATGCTTTCTCGGGGAATTATTAAATGAATTGAATTAAATGTACCCGAATTGGAATATAAGCAAATTAATTTCCCGATGGATGTATCTTTGTAATTTTTATAAAAGTATAACGCAGCACTGACAATGGTATTACTCGGTTGCTTTCGGTGTTAATGATAATGCATTTGAAATACGCCTGCAAAGAACAAAAGTAATGGAGAAATTATGCTGTACTTCAAGACATATGAATTTTCGATAAGGAGCGCGTTAATTTTCATTTATTTATTGCTCCCGGTTGCATAAATAATTGAAAAGAGGCAATGAAATAACAAATTCTCGTTGTCACATGAATATACGGTAATGCAAATTACATTTGTGAAATTATTGTTACTATGTATGCAGGTCGGTATCTCTTAGAATTTTCCGTGTATTAATCTCCTTGTTGTGTACTATATTAGAAATAATTTTTGATCTTTATCCTGTCGGAACTTAAATTTACCAGCGATTACCACTTTGAACGGCAGATTTCTGAGAGAAGCCCTCAAATGTATTCTACTATTTGACGAACGAAAATTACAGTGCACGATGAATAAAAAAGTTGCATTACCGTTATCTAGAAACTGCAGCCTAACACGGCGTAATTTGAACATTTTTCTTGTTCTTTACTGCGTTTGCAGCAAGTGCAGAGGACAAAGTGGAACTAACATTAGTTTTCCGAATATTATTGCTAAAATTCAGTTACCTATACGGAAGATTAAATAATAAGAATTATGACTGCGGAAATTGTTACTAAAACACATACTTCACGAGGATCTACATTCATTAAATTTCAGATAATAAACAGTGTTTTTCCAATTGAAAGGAAACATACTGAATAACATTTGATCGTCCCATTGAAATCGAGCTAAGCCAGAGAAATTTAGGGCATGAAGTACACAATGATAACCGCAGAATACGAAAGGAACCCCGATTTCGTATTAAATTTGAGATGTTGAATCATTATTTAAACCCGATGAACGCTATTTTTACTCGCATTCCTCAATTATGTAAAGCTCAAAGAAATGTTAATACGCGCGGTTTACTTCTGTTGCACCCTCGGTTTTCCTTATCCGCTGCGACAAAGGAGACCAAAACAGGCTATCGATCAAATGTTATTTTATCAAAAATTCGTTCGTTGCTGCGTTGCTGTCGCGCATAATTATGCGCCGATAATGCTTTTTCTCATACAACTGCAGGAAGCGATTTCCTTTCATCGTTCCCCACCAGTTTTCTCGAAACGATACGATAATGTGCGCTTTCTCGATCGCAACGTCGAATCGACGATCGGAGAAGGCAGAAGCCCTCCGTGCATGTATAAAGTACGAGTGCATTTGTTTTCTCTCGTGTTATTTTACTGTCAACGCCGTCAGATGACGCTACTGGGTGTCCAAATAAAAATCAATTCCAACCGGGATCAATCGTGATACATAATTACTCTCGTCCTTCTCGACTTGTAAAAACGACGGTTCGCAACTGGGGATCCATTTTGAGGAATAGTGTAAGATGTCTCATATTTCAAAAATGCGATACACATCGAAAACTATCAATTTCCATGCTGTCAGTTAGGAAGACTTGCGCGTGACACGTGACGATCGTGGCGCAACTGCTATTGGTCGTCGAGGAGAATAGAAAGAGAGGATCAGAGGGAGAACGCAATAGTCAGAAAATACGTAAAAGCGCTGGGAAGCCGTCGATTGACAATAGTATCTGACGGAGCGTTGTCTAACAATTCGTCGATACCCCTGTTCGGTTGCTATCTTTCAAGACCTTCAGCAAAGGTAATTGGCACGTTGTTTGTGGTCGCTCGGATAACAAAGAGAACATAACGACTACGTCTTGTTCGTTTTTTTTCTGTTCCCAGTGAAATTGAAAAGTGAAGGAACGAAAATGAAGATACTGATCGCGCTCTGCGCGACTTTAGCTGGTGAGTGATCCGACCGTTCAACATTCAAATTAATCCTCCTTTGTCCATGACGCAGTCAGTTATGCGATGTTTCATACTTTCTCGGTATAAAGTACCTATGCGGTTTGTGTGTTTGAAACGCAGCGTTCTACGTCATACTGATTGGAATAAATATCAATCGTCCGGAATATTATCATTGTACCTTGGATCTTCAATGTTGTCCAGATTATTTCTTCTTAAATATAGCTTTTCACATGTTTACATGGTTAATGATGTTACAAGCTTCCCCGTTTCAGCGGAATTAATAATCTTAGTATTGTTAGTCAGAAAACATGGGGCACGTTTAATCATATGTATAAGATGAGTCAGTTCTTAACAATAAGAATTGAGGAATTTGTGATTGGGAGGAGTATTGTTAAGTAAAGCGTATGCTGGATAATTATGTGTACGATTGCCTTGAAGTAATTTTATTTAAGCAGAGGACATTTGAACGTGTTAGTTATATATGCACATCTTTTTGTAAAATTATTTATATTATAGGTTTACTGTTACATGAACGTTTTTATTTACTAATGAAAACATACTTTCTAGGTATATGATGTTAATGGATATGAGTATGATTCATTATCTTTTAAATGTTTTTTAGTATGTACAGCAAAGTCAATAATTACTGCAGAAGGGCCGACTGATTTTCATCTGCTGGGTAAAAATGAATGCACCTGGGGTCCCTCGTATTGGTGTGAAAATATAAAGTAGGTTTTATGGTGTATTAAGAAAGAATTGATGTTATTTTTTAATATAAATTCAATTGATTATTGTATTACTATATACATTTATATTAATTGCAATGTGTATTGATATTGTATTAACACGTTGTACTTGATCTATCTACAGAACTGCAGCAGAATGTAATACAACTAAAGAATGTATTCGGATAAAATGGAACCATATGAAGGTACCAGAGGATAATGACAGTGTTTGCAATGTTTGTAAGGATATGGTTCAACAAGCTCGTGATCAGTTAGAAAGCAATCAAACCCAGCAGGATTTGAAAGCTGTGTTTGAAGGAAGCTGCAAACTGATTCACCTGAAACCAATTGTGAAAGAATGCGTATCAATTGTTGACCAATTTATTCCTGAATTGGTAGAAACATTAGCATCACAAATGAATCCATCTGTTGTATGTTCAGTTGCTGGACTTTGTAATTCCGCTCATATCGACAAGTTATTAGAAAAATATGAGCAACCAACAAGTAAGGTCTGTAAAAATGATAGTTCTGTGTTTGTTTGTGTAGTTCTTGCTGTATATTTGTTTGTGAACGTTCCTTAAAACTTTTCCTTATTTTGTTCAATGAAAACAACTACACTTTCGTGCTTTTGTGTACTGCTTGTTTTGTATTTTGCTTATGTTGTATTAATTATAATTTAGGTTGCTGACATGAGATCCCATTCTTTGGAGAAGGACGAGTTTGAGCCTGATGAATGTACAAAATGTTACACAGTTGCAGCACATATGGAACATAAATTAAGGAGTACTCCACGTGATCAAATGTTAAAGCAATTGCTTAATGTATGCGCAGACTTTAGTACTTTCTCGGATGCTTGTTCAGCTATCATTGTATCGTATTTTGATACCATACATGATCACTTAAGAGGAAATTTCAATCCTCAGAATATCTGTCACTTATCCGGTCAATGCAATGCAAGATTTCACAAACATGATGAATCTGATGTGGTAAATTTCAAACCAATCTTGTATTTTTAGCATTAGGTTGAATATAGACAAACACGTACTGTATGAATAATTTCAGAGTCCTAAAGTTGAAATTAGGCCACTCTCAAGCGTCGGTATGGTTGATGTTAGCGATGATTTACCATGTAAATTGTGTGAGCAACTCGTGGGACATTTAAAAGATCTTCTGGTAGCTAATACCACAGAAGCAGAATTTCATCAAGTCTTAGACGGATTATGTAAACAAACCAAATCATTTGCAGATGAGGTAAGTATTCTTCTATTTATTACTTATATATATGTACGTGTGTCTGCATGTGTTTGAGGCTTTTTATTTGTCATATGTGTTGATTTATAGTGTACTTCCATTGTTGATGAATATTATCCACAAATTTATGAGTATCTTACAAAAGGATTGAATAGTAATGCTATATGTCAAATGACTAGTTTATGTCCTGCTCCAGGAAGATCCGTACAGGTAAATAATTCTCTTTTGTTAACGATGTGATGACACAACAAAAGCTACATAAAATGTGATATTCATTTTATATTTTTATGTCACATAGTCTGAACCAATTTGGCCTCTGTTGCCTCACAATGTAAATGTGGCACGCCTTCTCCAAAACTCAAATGACAATGTGAACACTAAGAAATTTGAGGAACTAAGTGCATCAGAAAAACAGTTACCTATTGAAAGAATGATGCCTTTTCCTTTCGCACAAGCTCCAGTAGAAGACTCAAAATCGTGTGCCCTTTGCGGGTATGTGTTACATCAAATTCAAGAATCTTTGACAAATCCTGTTACAGAGGTAAGAATTATAATTATATAAATGAATATATAAAAATAAACTGTATGGCCACACAAATAATTTTATTTATTGACCAGGATAAGGTGAAAGATGTGGTAGAAAGTGTATGTAAGCGTTTTCCTGATGCTATAAATCGCGAATGTCAAGAATTTATAGAAACTTACGGAGATGCTATTGTTGCTATATTAGTTCAAGAAATTGATCCTTCTACTGTTAGTATATAATATATTATGCATTAATTATTATAATCGTGATAGAGACCTTAGGAGAAATAATTTCCAGGTGTGTCCAATGTTACATTTATGTCCCTCGCCAAGCTTTATGGCATTATGGCGAAGTATTCCTGGAAAATATGTTGTGGAAGAAAAGACGCGCAAACCTAGTTGTCCAATGTGTTTGCTCGCCATATCCGAAGTTTATAATGTCATTAAAGATAATAAAACCGAGGTGAGAAAATACTCATAATTTCCATTTTCTAAAAACCAATGTTATTTCAAACAGCATCGTTATGGAACTATTTTGTGATTCCTATTGCAGGCTCACATAAAGGATGCGTTAGAAAAGGCCTGTAGTCATTTACTTCCAAGTCTGTCCTCAGAATGTCAAGATTTGGTAGATGGATACAGCAAAGAGCTTATAGAAATGTTACTTGCAGACTTGACACCCCAAGAAGTGTGTGTTTATATTAAACTTTGTGATCCACCTAGCAGATCGGAAGTGAAGGAAATGTTTGTTACCGATAAAAATGGCGAAATCCGTACGTATATTAGCTAATATAGTTAGATTTTATGTTATGAAATTCAATAATAAAATGTACTTTTTTTTATTAACAGTAACTAATGAGATACCAGACATAGTATCACCGAATGCTAACATATGGACGGAGAATAAGAACAAAGTCACTTCCGAATCATGTACGTTATGTAAATTCGTTGTAAGTTTTATTGAGAAAGAAATAGGCATGACAAATCTCTCAAAAGCTAAAATGGAACAAGCGTGCAAACTTCTTCCAAAATCAGAGGTTCAGAAATGTATTAATTATATTGATAAACATGGTGATCAAATAATGGATGCCATAAAATATAGTCCTTCCGCAGTTTGCACTCTCGTAACTTCAGAACTATGTATAATATAATTCATACACACATTCGCGACTGTATACATATATATTTATATATGTATAATTTAATTGAACCTACATTCATTGTAAAAATTGTACTACTTGTAAGAAGTTGAAATAAAATTAAAGAAAATATTCTACCCCCTTTTTAGTACGTACGAATATAGCAGCATTTTCATTCAACAACGGACACCTGGGGGAAAGGCAAAAGAGAAGTATCCATGCACGAGCGACACCTTCGTGTACTACCTGCAAACTAATTATCAGAGCTGTCGATAAGAAAGTTGGAAGTGATAAAACAAAATCAAATATAGAAAACGCTATGGTTTCTGCATGCAACCACGTTAAGGCTGTTTCACATGAATGTCAGCAGCTGGCGGATAAGCACGGAGACTATATAATTAATGCTTTCGTTACGCATGCTCGCTCCAACACTATTTGCAGTGCACTCAACCTTTGCGAATCAGCTGATGAAGATGCTATGACAGGTACATGATAGATAGGTTATGTTATGATACAGATATAACCTCACTCAACATTTATTTATATACACATAACACAATACAGGGTATGTGGGAAAATTGACAAAGTCGCTCGGCCTCTTCGTAGCAGTAGACCGATTAGATTGGTGGTAAAACGATTGGCCTCTGATTATCTGTGCAGGCAACGAACTGGAGTCGAAGGAACAACAGCGAGAGCGGATCAGCATAAGCGGACTCTTCAAATTGTGCCCCCATCTCATCGATTACATTGCCCATCGGGTTGGTGCAGAC